TTCGAAACCACGCCAGTCGACTCAATGGCAGACTTTATGATACAGCGCGCGCACGCTAACCATTCAGCCATCCACCCCCCCCCCCCCCCCGTAGCAAAATGAACTGGCTCATCTAAATGGCCACATTTCCAGTGCTTGAGTTACTTTTCTTTTACAAATCATCCTATTTCGAGTGTTATTATTATTCCATTTGTTAATATATTTTATTTTAAAAAATACTAGTAATTTGTGATGCATTATAATACAATTTGTTATTATATTTTATTAAATTTATGAGAGTTTTTAGCATACTGTTGTCTTTTGAAAAATGTTCTCTTTTTTTATACTTGACAGCATAAGATGTTGAATACCGTCGTTTCAGAGGTATACCCTACCCTGCAAGATGTGACCATAATAGAAAACAATATTCAACGACAAAACAGCAAATAAATTGCTTGGTTGCTATGGGATTTTGTTTTGAAACATACCAAATCTTTAACTTGATTTTTCTCAAAACTTACTTTGATGAGTTGGATGGCTTTAAGCAGTCACAACTCAGTCAATTTTTTCCCGATTCAAACAAACTATACATCAAATTCAAGGTAATGAGTCGGAGAATGTGAAAATAACAATAACTCAATTTTCAAAATTTCCTCATTCCGACTCAGTATGCCATGGGGGGGGGGGGGGGTCACAATTCTTTTTTTGGTTTTGTAGGAGCTTAGCCTTACTATGATCTGGCGGGGGGAAATTGATGATTTGGGATCTACTCTGTGACAGTTTTCAATATTGACAGATTTTATATCTGGAATGACATTTTCCAAGACTTGCAAGGTTAGTTGTTCAACATTTTCACCCGGTTTTTTTTATTATCCCTCCAATCCTTATGCAATTTCTTCTTCCATATTGTTCCAAATCATCACATTTTTCTTTTATTTCATAATGGAGTTGGAGTGTTGTAGCTGCAAGGTCATCCTTTAGTTTGTTGATTTCATTTTTCAGGGGATCAACAATTGTTTTAAGCTGTTGGCACAGAATATCCTGTATAATAGCAGACAGCATATTTTGAATTTGGGGAAGGGTAAAAGCCTGTGCAATTTTGTCTGATAACCCAGATATTGATTTTTCAAGACAATCGCTGATGATATTTTCATGGAAAATTTGACTTGATTCCTTGGGGTGATGGTGGGTCTGTGTTAGTGTTGTGGTCGAGCATTGTTGTTGACAGTATTGTAAAGAGTGATTTTAAAAAATATTCTTTTGTTTCTTACCAGAATGAATGAAGAAATCAGGCTGCAGTATAAACAGTATGTCTACTGCTCTCGTTGCTGACAGATTTCAGTTGTCGGGTGAAACTAGCCGTACAGCTCAAAATAAAATGACGCCACAGCAGTGATAATTGTATGTTTTGTTGTTTTTTCACATAGAGTCGACACCAGTTCGTTTATTACAATCCCAGAAAAACAAATTTCCTCGCTCGATCAACAAGTAAACCCACTCTTATCAACAGATATGTTTAATACTACAGGGGATTGTACATTTATGTAGATATACTTATTTTACTAAGAGCTCCAATAACTGTGTCTACCTGCCTGTCGCCATTGGTCAATATGGAATATTATCACCTCTACTTACTGAAATTTTTATGACCGCGTTTGAAAAGAAAGTCCTAGCAATATCACCCGTTAAACACATAGCCTATTTCCGCAGAGTGGATGACCTGTTTGTCATCTTAAAAAGCATAGATGAACATACCACCTTACTACAGCATCTTAACCAACAGAACGACCGTATCAAATTTACACCAGAAACTGAAATTCATGACACCCCCTTCCATTCCTTGATGTATGTAAAAGTAGAGAGAGAAAACGGCACCCTAAAAACCAATGTATATAAAAAAAAACCAACGCACACAGACAAGTACAGTACGTACACTTTAAATCCATCCAACCTATCAGTATCAAATGAGCAACTTTATCATCCTTAGTGAAACGAGCAAAAATAATTTCAACACCTGGAAACTAGATGCAGAGATGACCCACCTCAGAGAAGTTTTTACCGCCTTTAATGACTACCCACCTAAATTAGTAGAAGATGTAATTAAAAAAGCACTATCTGACAACACCGAATGCAATGCAAGATAAGCCACCAATCAGAATCACTATCCCCTTTAATAGCAAAATATCATACCAAATAAGAAGACTGTTGCAACAAGCTGGTATCCGGGTAACCTTCTCAGACACAAACACCATCAAAGACATCCCCCATGCTAATGGTAAATGTGAGTCAACCAAACCAACGTCACCTACATGTAAAGGATGCATTTAGCAAGTCTTCTGCTCCTGTAAAAGCAGCTACATTGGGGCAACCAGGCAACCATTAGATGTAAGACTTAGCCAACACCAACCAAAACCATCTAACCAGACCTGAGCTGTAGCAGACCACATCCAACAAAATCCAAAACACAAGATACTATGGGAAAAGACAAAGAAATTAGCAATCAATCAAAACCACACAAAGAAAAGGAAGATTTTGGAAGCCACCAACATAAAACGCTACAAACCAGCATTAAATAGAGATGAAGGCATTTATCTACCACGTGCTTATGATGCAATAATCGCTGGAAATTGAATTATACTTTATTATAAAATGTGGGAGATACCCTGAACAATAGGACATCAATTATAATAACTGCAGTCATAAATTCTGAATCACATAAGTACCCTAGTATGCCCTCTGTGTTTGGGTGGTTATAAATTAATTTATAATAAGTGAAGTATAATAAGTGTTTTCCTATCTTTTGTTTTTCTCATCTACGAAATAATTAATATGTGGTTTCCCTTATAATTGTTGTGCTATTATATAATTACCTTCTATATGTTTTGATAGGTTTCAGTCTGATCTGTTACTACACTAAGGTTTTGATTAAGTGGTTTTCCAAATTATTATTGGCTAATCAGATGTAATTTATTTTGTATGTTATTACTATGTAACTTTACTATGATAAGTGGTTTCCCCAAATGGTTTATTGGCTATAATTAGCTGTTATATATTTTGTGTATATGGTTTCATAAGCTCTTATTCCTATATCGAAGATTGACTTAATATATTAAATATTTCCCTATTGATTATGATTAATTAGCTGTTACTTGTTTTTGTATATAAACCTTCTGTGCATTATTTTCATTATTATTTACTTGAAAACATTGAGAGAATGCTCAACGAAACGTCGCTTTAATTAAAATAGTAACTGTGTTCCATATTATGTTTTTGGGTTTATATAAATCCTTATGTTTAAATCTGCACATTGACCAATTGTTTTAACATCCAGGTTTTATTGATATACTATTCAAAAAAAGTAGGGGATATTTGATTTTTAAGTGTTATTAAAGTCACCTAATGAAACTGACGAAGAAACAAATGACAAAATGAAATGAAGTTCACACTCATCGATTTATTCCAAATGATCGTTAGACTAAGTAAGGCACAGACTGACCATTATAAGGGTAAAATGATACCCGGGGTCAAACAGCAAAGTTACCACAGCATCACAACCAAGTCAGTAACGGGTAAATCCTCCTCTGTTTGCCAAACAAGCATTGATCCGACGTGGCATACTCCTAATGAGACGTCTAAGGTCATTTTGGTCCAGATTGTCCCATTCCTGTTGCAACGCAGCAGCAAGTTCTTGGACATTGGCAGGACGTTGTTGACGTTGACGTAACCTCTGTCCAAGCATGTCCAAGACATGCTCGATGGTGGAGAGGTCGGGACTCAGTGCTGGCCAAGGTAATGTGGTGATGTTCTGTTGTTTGAGGTAACCTGTAACGATCCTGGCCCTGTGACATCTTGCGTTGTCATCCTGGAAGATGAAACGGCGGCCATGACGTCGTGCGAACGGCACAACATGGACTGCCAAGATGTTGTCCCGGTAGTACTGGCCTGTAACACGCCCTGCAACAACATGTAAAGCCGTTCTTCCAGCAACAGTGATGCCTCCCCACACCATAACAGAACCACCCCCAAATCGATCATGTCTGATGACGTTAACGTCTTGGAAGCGCTCGTTTCGACGACGCCACACCCTCCTACGTCTGTCCAAAAAATCAACAGTGAACCTTGACTCATCTGAAAACATCACATTGCTCCAGCGTCGATTATCCCAGTGTTGACGATCCCTACACCAACGACGTCTCGCCTGAATGTGATGATCTCTCAAACAAGGGATCACGCGAGGACGTCGGGCGCGAAGGTGACCCCTATGCAGTCGATTCCGAATCGTCTGGCCACTCACTCTCACACCAGTGTCTGTTTGAAGACGAGCGCTGATCTGATTTGCTGTGATGACACGATTTCTCAAGGCCAAGGTACGGATAAATCGATCCTGGGCTTGAGTTGTCGCCCTTGGTCGACCTGAGCGTGGTCTGTCCTGTACAGATTGTGTATCACGGTATCTGGACCATAGACTGCTTATGACAGACTGAGAAACATTCATCGTCCGCGCCACAACCGCCTGTGTTGTGCCGATCTGTAGCATGCCAAGGGCACGTAACCTTTCATTTTTGGTAAGCCGACGCATATCAAAATTTGTTTTCTGGTCACTAAAACAATTAAACTGATGTTTCCACCCTGGAATTCAATGCCACAATGACTGTAACATTCAAAGTCAGAGTCGTGCAAATCTTGGGTTGGACCCCCATGATGATCCCAAGCATCACCTGCATTCCATGCGGTAGCTATTGGTGCGTTTGGGCGTCACATGTAACTGGAAATGTTTCTTCTGTTAGGTTCTATAGTGACTTTTTTCGTAGTCATTTGCATATTTTAGTATTATGCCCCCAAAATCAAATATCCCCTACTTTTTTTGAATAGTATATAATAAAACCATTAACATCTCCCTACTGTTGTATATTTGGATTTGCATCTGAAGTTATACGCAGACGGGAATAAGTATTATTTGTTTCAGTATACATATTACATATCCAGTAATTTGAGGGCTTCTCATATATTTCTATACTTACCTATAAAATAGTTTGAACCAATGTCTAAAATATCTGGAGAAATGGTTATAGTCTGGTTCGTTTCATTCTTAACGATCGGAAATCCACCCTTCCTATCACAATTCAAAAAACCTTGCTCATCCACTTTATATGGTAATATCGGGAAATCTATCTGCATATTAGTGCTGGGTTTAAATCTTGAAAAAAAAGATAAGTTTAATCAGAATATGGCAAATTCATACGGTTGATCAAATCGGATAACCACTGCGTCTTAAAAATATCAAACTATATCATAATACAAAATAATGCATCCTGAAGTAGAAATTTTTGTATTGATTGTGGTAAAATGATTTGTGGAACTGCAATGACCTGAGATTACGTTACTTATTTTTCGTCTTTCGTGATGAATTATATTCTTTGAGTTCCGGCATCAGTTACTGCCGCTTAAATTCTCTTCCAATTATTCCATAAAGTATTAGTCAAGGGCGTTGAGTAGTCTAAGATACCCACTAACTTTTCAACACCAATCTTATTAAGACATTCCACACTTGTTCCATCTGTAAATAACATAGAGGACACATAACGGTCCGATTGTTTGTTGTGTAATAATGGAGGTAACCGCGGGGAAAAAAACTATTTATAGCAAACGTGAAGGTTTCCCCGACCTAGATCAGTTCTTAACTAAATTATGACGTCGTATAAACCAATGGTGATGAGTTAGTTGTATTTTACGTCCGCTTCCACCGAGGTGATATCGCAGACAATGGTTCACGCAAGAAGCTTTAATGACGTGGAGGCGGCATGACGTCACTTTGGTGAAGTCATCGACGCCATATTGGTTAACCCAAAAACAGCGATGGCGGGCTGCTCCAGGTGTACGTCTGATGTGAAAAAAAAGAAGAAATATAATATTTTTTGGGAAAAATTCTTTTGCCTGCTAGTCAACAAAATAAAAGGTCCGAAATCACATGTCTTATTGGTCTGAAGAAATTCTGCATTGTGCGATTGTTTTCGGTTTATTCATTTAATTAATTTTTCGGGAACTGATATCTTTAAATTGACTAATGAATAAAAAAAATAAATAAATAAAAAAAAATTAAAAAAATTTTAAAATCAGTAATAAACAGTGTCTAGCGGCACTCTAAGACTATAATCACTCTGCTGTGGGGGCTATAATTTTTTCGTGCCTTATCAGTATTTGTTTTATCAGTTTTTCGGGACGTAAATTTCTGTGAATGCAACCGATTGCGCTTAGATGGGCATTGAGTTGAATTTATTTTGCGAAACCAAAGGTCGCTGTATTCAAGGAATGGATTAGCTGCTTCGGACCACCGACTTACCAGCTGCGGCCCCGGGAAATCAAATCGGGAATTTTATCGGTCATTTCATTTCTACCTCCTCTCCAGAAAAAATCGAGATTTTAGGTGGGCGCATCATAGTGTGATTTCGGTTCCAAAACCACAAAATTAATGCCATATTTTGGAATATTTTTTAGTTGCTGCACTAACGGACCGGATGACAGGAAAACTCGCTCGTGGCCGTCTAAGTTTCTCATATTCCGGACGCGCCTTCGGGCATTTCATTTCTCCACTCTCTGAAGCTAGGTCTAGATTAAAGAAATATTTGCAAATCATATATTTTTATACAGGAAAACAGTACACGGTATCATTGCGACACAACATGCAGACTAAAAGTCGGCAGATCCAAAACTCCTCCTATTTACAGGACAATAATTGACGAAGTTTCATGAAATAATGTTTTATAAATCACATTTAATAACTGATTTCAATTATTGTTATACGCATAAAGCTTTGTCTTGTTTATATTTCATTTGAACCGAAGTCATGACATTTTAATGTGTATGTAACATATATTTTAATCCTGGCAGTATCGATGCGTGATTTGCATTTTGAGGAAGATATCAAATTTCTCACGGCTGAATCCACCCCTGTATTCAGAATAATTATTTAACATTTAATTAAGACATCAAAATACAAACGCTAGATAATATCTCGGCTTGAATTCAGTCGAATTAAAAACTGGTCCATCAATTTGGTTCACGGCAAATAAAGATAGCGACGTCCTTGTAGGGTGTCGCATAATATATGATTGGTGGAATTGAGTCATTTTTGGACAGGTATTCGTATTAAAGATTCTACGTTCACAATATTTTAGTTTGCAGATGATTGATGTAGCGCGAGAATAACACTAGGTCTTTAATTGAAATAAATGCAATATTCTGCAATCCGTTGTAGTCTGCTTGAGATAACATTTTCAATTCTATAACTCTATGGAAATTAGGATCTACATGATTTAATATAACTTTGTTATTTATATCTTTACATGTGTTACCTTTCACCTAAAACAAATTTCCTCTGGGATAATAAAGTATTATTGTTGTATCTTAAAACTTGTTGTGGACGTATTTAAAGAATTAACCCAAAATCACAAAATCTCGTTTGACGGTAAATAATGAACAACGATTTTAAAATACTTTGAGTTGATATTTTACAACGTTTTTGGTGTCGAAATGTAGCTAATAACCTTTACTTTCCATCAACTGATGTGATTATCGATATCTCCTTTAAGCATGTATTAATACAATTTCCAAGAAAACTCATCGTTTTTTGTGGGTTTTTTTTTGCGTGTCCATGGATGCCAGACAATCCACAGTCTATAGCCAACGAGAGCATCGCTAACGCTGCAATATACGTCCACATTCCTGCTTTGATTGATATGGTACTTTTTAAAATGAAGAGAATAAAATATAAAATGGCTGTAATATGACAAGACGCAAAAAAGGCTAGGCGTTGGGTTTGTTTTGCCAAATTTACAGACAAAATATTAACAAAAACGTGGGTGTGACACCACGCCAGGGGTATGCACAAAAATAAATAGTTGCTGTCTTTACGGTATAAGGAATAAATATGCAAAGTTCCAAGATGATCCATTCTGAATTGCAGTCTGCAGACGATAAATACAAAAATTGGGCGTGGCTCTGCCCCTTTTATTGAAGTGATTGATACGCTGAATTTGAACAAAATCTGTTAATTATTGTAACCTGTAGAGTATTTACAGATAAAAACTAACAAAAAAGTGAGTGCGGCACCACACCCCTGGGGGTCGGGACATGCACCAAAATAAATAGTTGGTATTCTTATAAGGAATAAAGGAATAAGGAATAAATATGCCAAATTCCAAAATGATCCATTTAGAATTCCAGACTGTAGACAAAAAACACAAAAATTGGGCGTGGCTCAGCCACTGGGGATTGGACATATGCTGAATCCTATGCTGAATCATTCCGATTTTGATCCAAATCTGTTAATAATTGCAACATGTATATCATTTACAGACAAAACGTCAACAAAAAGTGTGTGTGGCGGTGTGTGTGGGGTGGGGGGGGGGGGTCGTACACTAACATCAATAGTTGCCATCCTGAGGGTATACGGAATAAGTATACCAAGTTCCAAGATATTCCATTAAGAAATGTGGCCTTCGGGCGCTAAAGGCAAACATTGGGCGTGGCTCTGCCCCTGGGGGTCAGGGCATTCACCCTTAGGCTATAAGGAATGCACATGTCAAGTACCAAGCTGATTCATTCAGAATTCGGCTTTGCTTTCGATTTGATCAATCTATCAACGCATACTTAATGAGCACAATCCCATCAAATCGAAATAAATATCTAATGAGACCTTTAAGAAATAATCAAATGTAAAGAATCTGTAATATGAAACAGGCGTGGCCTAGAAGTCCTCATTCTCCTCTGGATCCATGAACAAGAAGATGGGTAGGACTTGGGGACCAGTTCTTGGTCCAAAAATGTATAGTTATGCTACACAGTTATTTACAATTATTCATCACGGTATATTATGACCACTTAATGGAATTCTATATCCTCGGATATTTTGGATATTGCTTATTTAATATTTTTTGGGCGGGGGGTGGGGGTATCTCAGTGTGATGTTGTATCTGTCTAACGATGAAGTCGTGGGAATAAAGTATATTAGTTTTAGTCTTAATATTCACTATTATCTTCATAATGATACTTTTTGAGTCACGCTCACTCGGTGATTAGGGGGCTGGGTCACTAACAGAGAGGTCCTGAGGTCGATACCGGTGCCGAATTTTCCAATCTGGGTTCCCTTTGTAAGTGTGCAAACAAGACACAGGTCCATCAGTCCAGCATGCACTGACAAGGGGGAACCACGTGAAACAATTTCTAAGGATCGCAAACCATTGTGAACAACAATATCGATATATCGAAATACTAGTAGACACAGGGGTGGTAATAAAAGTATAAAACATATATTGGTATTTGGATATTTATTATTAATTGTCAAATCGCTTCAATAATACTACAAGGTTGTTGAATATAAGAATACACAGGTATGCTTAATGTATCCTGGTCATTACCTACAACTGATCGACAGTTAAAAATACATTATGCGAGAGTTAAATCTGCCTATTGCAAATCTTTCTTTGGGCCTGAAATGTTTTTCTAAATTATTAACTATACATTAATTAACTTGTCCAGGCCATAATCAACTCTCGATGTCATCGCTAGCGTGCGATATTTACTGAATTAGGATCCTATTTGCTCCTCAACTTTCATTCATGATTTAATCGTGAAATGGCTGGATAATCGGGACTATATTTAATCGAACGGACTTTAATAATGATGATCGGTTCAAGCTGGATCAATTTGACTGAAATTTTCAGCAAATTCCTTTTACATTATCTAGTTTTAACTATTATAGTGCGAACTGACAGCTCTTTATCTAAACTCCCATAATGTATCTTTAAGATTTAGGGTTCATATGATTATTCTAATGACTCAAGACAGCCGCCTTTATGTATATCCAGGCCTGTCTGGATTGCAAATAAGAGTAATTAACTTCGAACAAGTAACTAGTTCAGTGAAGTTCAAATGTCTGACAATGCAAATTTGGTCATAGTGTTTGGTACCCATCAAATGTCAAAAGAGCCCCCCCCCCCAGCTAATTCCTATAATAATGGAAACACAGTTTCGTTATTAGTACAATGTTTAGGTCAGATACTGCAGACTGTCCACTCAAGTAAATATACCGATATTAAAAGAAAGAAGCGGGCTAGAAACTCCCAGACATTAACAGAACAGAAACGTTTTATAAGATAGATCGGAGGTCTCGTGGAACTCAGGCTATATCTTAGTGAT